TAAATCATAAGTTCTTAATTCTACAAGGCAATATTCAAACAAATCCTTAATTGCCCCGAGCGTGACACATTTTTTCTTAGCATGTCATCTTCCCTATTTTATACACCACCCCTCGAAAAATTAAGAATTTAAACATAACTTACTCTCTATAAAATCATCATTGCTCAAATAAATGATAATTTTTATAGTTTTTCAATTTTGTTTGGTTACAGAGCTACCGATTAGAAAATCAGACCCCTTCTGTCATGGCTACTCGTCACATCCTCTCTTTCAGAATTCATTAATAATTCTCTCTTACGTTTAATTATATATTACCTATAACCAATAGAAAGTCAAGGTTTTCATCTATTGAATGATGTGTTGTAGAAGATTATGTCCTGAACAGTTAAATGTAAATTTCACTCAGAGTAACAACATTGTCCCCATGAGAAAGCCAGAAAAATTTTTAGAGGTAAGGGAATTTGTCTACTTTTTTGCATGTTATTAGTTTATATTCTTTAGCATATTATTTAAGTTAAAATTATTAAGTGCATCACTATCATTAGTATAAAGAATTAGGGTTAACTCTCTTCGACAATCGACAGCAAGAAAAAAGAAGATTGGTTAAGTATTTTATTTCTTGTTTTTCCTGTTTATTCTTAATGTCTAAATATAAAAGTAACTAAAATGTAAAAACATGGACCCCTTTAGGTTAGTTAAGATTAGATTATGAAAAAATAAAAGCTGAAAGTCAGTTCTCTAGGACTTCTCCAGGAACTGTTAGCTGAAAGTTCTCCAACTCAAGATGCTGAAGACTTCCTCCTTAGAACAACGCCAGAACACCTCCTCAACTTTTATACAAGTTAAAACGGCTATTTCCCTCAATCCATCAATGTAGTTTAGGAACTAAAGCCAAATGTATAAAGGAACTATTTGAGGAGTTCAAAATAATTACTCCTTTGATGTCCCATGATGAGTTGTTTTTTTCTAATGATTTGAGTATTAATGAATTAGGCTTTTGATGCTGGGCATTAAATTTAGAATTTCTGAGAAAGTATACACAGTATCAGTACACCATGTAACCCTGTCTATGAATAGAGCTGAACAATTAATGGTATTTGCTAATATATTAGCTTACAAGATTAACTGATGTAATTGCTGCTCATAGGTAATTGATTAAATCTCCCAGCTCTATTTATGGGTAATATAAAATATATGTCAGGGCTTTCTCTGGAGTGCAAGTAAGTATTTTTCTCTTTGTTTTTGTTAACTTAAAAAAAAATCAGTCAGATATGAAATGCCTTCGATGTTTCTCAAATATTTATATGCATTACAAAGAAATAGTACTTGCATGATATACATTTCACAAAAGAACCAAATGCTCAATAAATAAAAAAATTGTTACAAAACATTTTTCAATCAATATTATTTACGCATCTACAGATAATCTTCTGTTTAGATGGATACTGTCAGAAACAGCAATGGTATTTGTTATAGACCAGTTAGTTCTACTTCTGTAGTGGTAAAAATTCTAGGATCCCCCCATAATTTCGATTAATTGATTAGTTTATGTGATATTAATCAATGTTACTGATGCTCATAGGTTATTTATTATTTCGATCAAATTGCCCAGCTCTAAATCTGATATTTCTTTATTATTTTTCCTGTGGACATCATTACTGTTGGTCAAATTTTTGTATTCTTGAAGGTGTTTTGAAAAATAATTTTCTTTTCAACCATAAGACATTCACTTAAATGACACTTCATGTAAATCTGTGACCAAACAAACAGTTTTTGTTTTAATTTTCTATCTTGTGAGGTTTTTCTTTAATAGAATGAAGTTTATTAATTTAACATAAAAAGGTATTTCAGTTTTTAGACAAATACACATAATGAAGGCTCATGTGACAACAATACATGATGCAAGCCCAATTGACAACAAATACACAAATCCTGTAAATTAAAAAGAGACAGACAAAATCTGAAGATAGAATACAAATAAGGTAAATAAATTAAATTTTATTAGTACATTTACATCTGTAATTCATCATATGGTTAAAAAAACTCACATGACTAAGTAGATAAAGAAAGTGAAGACAATCTTTGTTCAGACAAAAAAAACAAAAAAACATTGTGTATACCTGTATAGACTAGTAGATGATCACCTCTACTGGATCAGTTAATAGCTTACCATGCAGCTCTCCGTCTCTCAAGATAAATCTTTGCCAAACTAACCACCATGAAAGCCAAAAAGAACTGAACAAAGAAAATGCACCTAGATACAGTGTGCTAACTTGCTTTCTTTGTCCAGTGGATCATAAACACTCATGACCTCTGTTCCCTGACAGCATTGGTTGGCTGTCAGCTTCCGTCATTGTCGGAATCTACCAGCAAAGGATATTTCAATGCTAACCTGCTCAAATTGGACTCTACATACAATGCTGAAATATCCCTGCACAGCAGAGGATATATCATCTACAAGAGAACAAAGGGCAAAATGCCTAGAAAAGGATAATATTATCAACTCTAACACCATTTGTTGCCACCATGAGTGTACAAAAACTAAATAATCAACAAGTTGGAATAATTCCATATTACCACAGAAGGTAGGAAACCCATGATATGCTCATATTTCATAATTGATTAAAAACAGATAAAACACCAAGGTCAGCATGTGAGCCTTTCTCTTTTATTTTACAAAGTTCAACAGATATTGAACAGACAACTGAAAGCTGTAGAATTGTCTGTGTTACTCCTCTTTTCAAAGAGAGTGATAAGAGTTGCCCTGAAAATTACATGCCAGTTAGACCTACTTCTGTAGAATATAAAGTTCATTTGCCTTATAAATGAAGCTTTAAAAAATAAGTTGGTGAAATATGATACCATGAATGAAAGCCAACTTGGATTCACTTGCACAAGGGATAGATAGTAAAAAATAAAACTAACATTAATATAACTTCAATATAGTTAGAGATTATAATAACTTATGGACAACAAGAAACCATGTGGTTTTTCCAAGACTATTCTTGCACAACTTTTCTCGAGAAAGTAAACAATTAAACACACCCTTTATTTTCAAAAATTCATCAATTCCCCTGTTAAACTCTGTAAAGTGCTGGCCTCTAGTATTGCTAATGACACCTTTCATTATCCAGTAATTCTATTTAAAAATAAAACTTTCTTAACTGGCAGGGTAGAAGACATATTCAGCATAAGTTTTGCTTTCCTGGCATGATAGTTGGCCTTTGGAATAGGTTGCCTTCAGATGTTCTGGATGCAGTGAATTTAAAAGTAGGCTTGATAAATATTTAAATTATCAGTGTTGGATTTGAGTTCATTTCATTTTTCCAGTAGATGTACAACCTAGATGGACCAACAGACCTCTTGTGTACTTATATATTATGTTAGGTCATATTAGCCTGTCTTTTTCCAAATTCTAAACTTATGTCCTCTCATTCTATTATCTATAAAATATAGCACAAAGAAACCAAAAGTATTTATTTCATCAATCCCCTGGATATTTTGTAACCTTCAATAAAATAATCTCTTGCCCTTCTTTTTTCAAGAGATATACATTAAGAGATCTTAACCTATCTCCATAATATAACCCTTTCATCTCTGGAACTATCCTATTAGCATTCCTCTGAACCTTTTCCAATAAGTCAATATCCCTTCTTAGAGAAAGACAAAAACAATACTGTATTTTAAGTGTGGACAAACTAGTGATATGTATAGAGAAATTACCTCTTCATTTGTAATCAATGTATTTACTACTAGCAACATAGCTTTGTTGACTTGAGTTATTTATCTACCATTATACTAAGATCCATTTCTTCAGTAACGATTCATCCCCCACTATTCTAAGATGTTTTTCTTTGGATATTGTAGAAGAGGTCTGATGAATATTTTACAGATTAGGGTCATACAGGAAAAGTGCTTTTTATATATATTTTGAAATGGGGTGGTAGTAAGATATTGGAGCACTTAGATGGGCCAAACTGTCCCTTGTTTTTCTTTGGAAATGAAATTAAAACTACTTTCACTAAGTATTTCTGTCATGTTTTATAAATGTTAGAGTATTCAACTTTAATTGATTCAAAACATCCACACCAGTACAGTCAAGTTAAAGTACAAGCTATCATTCTGGTAAATGAACAGATTCAGAGCATGATTTCTAAACTATGCCACCATCAGTTTGGTTTACCCTAATTGTGGTCATTATTAGCTAATAAGATGAGCTAAATTGCAGGACATTAGAAGTTGTATGGTTAAGGCTAAAAATCCCAATGCATTTTGCATTTACATCTGTATCTATAGAAACACTAGACATGAAAGCCAAAGCACCATAAAAAGGTTACAGAGAAGAATTCTACACTTGTTTTCTTAGAGGAAAAATTTAATCATTACTTGTTCCTCTCAATGTAACTTAACATACTTCCTTGTAATAAGTAGTAAATCTAAGAAATTACAAATAAAATATGTTTGTGTACCTATACTTAAATAAAAAAAAAAAAAAATTAAGCCCTACAATTTAAAATTTTAGGTGTATATCCCGGTTTCGAACATAATTCGACTAAACTATTAATAATGATAATAATTAGTAACATCAATAATATTATAATATTAAAATTACAAAAGCATTACTTCTACTAGTAGTAGTATTAGTATTACTTTGATTTAGAATTCATAGGGTCGTAGTTTTGTGAATTGTAGTATCTGCATAGTATTTTCTTGTCTTTATTATTTATATAATGAAGTTTATTAACGTAACAAGTCAACAGTAAACTTGTAAGTCACATCTGTTACTAAATGTTAGTGCATTACGCCTAATAATAAGTAATGTTAACCACACACTTGTACTAATAGAAATACTAGTACTAGTTTTTACCACTTTGCGCTCCGCTACAGACATCATTCAGTCGCTACCGCACTGCAGAGACCTGACTCGCGTGCATACTACTATAATCAGATTTATATTTTAAACTTGAAGATTTGATGAAAGTGAAAAATTTTTTACTTACCAAATACTACTGTTGAGAAAATTATATAAGTCCATTTCGAATTCCACATTTTAGTTCTATCATTCGAATACTTAATTTTCAGTGCTGCAGTTCGTAATCACAAAACTTTCGTCAGCACAATCCCAATTCACAACCCTACTACAGGTATAGCATTAGAAGGTAAACTTCCGGTATTATCACTTTGCGCGCGCACCCTTAACATCAAATAACGTGTTAAAGGATGTGTACCTCCGCAGTATTTGAAAAATGTATCCAGTTTCCAAAACCTTGGAAATACTAAATGAACTTTCTCGTTTTCTTTCTTTTATCAGGGTACGTTATTAAAATCAACAAATGAAATTTAAGAGAAGGTTTATAAGATATGCACACCGTTGTTTAATATTCTTGGCTTTTGAAAGTATTAATTCTTTGAGAACATACCTGCACTCTTATGTAGTATACGTGCTTAACGAAATGAAACAAACTTTTTGTCTTCAAAGCTTCGTTTTGAGCTTACTTACTTACTGATTTTATGTATTATTTTAGTACAAGTTTTTTACAGTTAGGAATAATATTTTTAAAACAGGCACGACGTTCCGATCAATGGTAAGATGATTCTCACGTTTTTGAAACTACTTGTGTACCTGAAAATGAACGAAACGTTGTACCTGTTTTAAAATTACTTTTTCTTACTGTAAAATCTGCAACTTGTAATAAAATAAATTCTTTTGTTTGTTTAATGTTAAGCGTAAAGCTAAACATTGGGCTACCTATCCTTTGCCTACAGTGTGTATCGGAACCCAACTTACCGCTGAGCCAAACTTTATTATTAAAAAGTTTCTGAATATTACAACGCCATACATCTCAAAATAATTTGGTTCATCAAAAAATACTTAGAGTTGCTACGCCATGAAATTTCCTCTCAGATTCACTTCTATGAGCGTACATGGATTTAATAACTTCTTGCATTATTTATTCTTTTGCCCCCCCCCCCCATTCTGAAGGCTAAAAATCGGATTTCACTACTGGTAGTGGGCATAGCACAGATTGTTTGTTTTGAATTTCGCGCAAAGCTACACTAGGGCTATCTGCGCTAGCCGTCCCTAATTTAGCAGTGTAAGACTAGAGGGAAGGCAGCTAGTCATCACCACCCACCGCGAACTCTTGGGCTACTCTTTTACCAACGAATAGTGGGATTGACCGTCACTTATAACACCCCCCACGGCTGAAAGGGCGAGCATGTTTGGTGTGACGGGGAATCGATCCCGCGACCCGCAGATTGCGAAACGAGCGCCCTAACCGCCTGGCCATGCCGGGCCAGCACAGATTGTCCATTGTGAAGTTTTACACTTAACAACAAAGAAAAGTTATGTATTTTTTCAGTTATGTTTTTCTGATACATTTTAGCTCATTTATTTATTTAATTTTCGTTGATTAACTAGCAACCTAACAATACTATTTTTGTCTTTAGTTTTTCTCGATATTAAGCTGTTTGAAATATTAAAATATATTCTTAGGTACAATGTACAACTACAAAAGTGTGTATTTGGTTTTATTAGTCGTTTTTAACATGCAAGACACTTCATGCAATGTGAGCTAAATAGCCAGGTCAAAAACCCCTATAAAGTTCAAAGTGTAGCTGTTCCTAATTTTGATCAAAGATAATTAAACAGCACCCTCCACAACAAGGGCCACTTTCATAATGCATCCACAGCTAAAAGTGCGGAGAAGTGTTTGATTTCATCAGATCTTTAATCCTGGGCCCTTCGATCCACAACGCGACACAAACACTAACCACTAAGCTACGCATGGCTTCAGGGGTGTCGAGAGCCAGCCCAGGCCCCGGGGTCATTAATATCATCGGGCTCCTTTTCATTCTATTTATTAACGTTTGCTGATTTTTCATAAAATAAATTTAGGTGACAAATTTCTTTTTGAATCCATATAAAAGCAGTAGCCATTTTAGCTTATTAAGTAGTATGCATTTTTAATGAGCTTTGGAATATTCCACTGCCGGGCCTCTCAATAGACCCCAGGCTTCCCCTCTCGTCAGCCCTGCCTGGCCCATAGCTGTGAAAATATAGGCATTTTCAATAACCATTATAAAAGTGTTTCCCGTATCTGATTATGTCATCCAACTAGACAAGTACGATGTCCCACGATAGTTCAGAGAGAGCACACTCTATAAGTCAATGAATTATAGCAGGTGCATTATATTATTCAAATGGTATCAAAAAAATGCCAGAGTCCATTTCCAGCAGTTACAGCTGTCTTTTCTATACTTGCTTTGTCGACTTGCGCTTACCAATATCCATTATTGAGATTCAATATTGAAAACCAGTTTTATCCAGATAGATTCCTTAGGACACACTGAAGTGTTTGGTTCTACTATGTCTCAGTCACTAGATGTAAATGTATTCCTAATATGCCACTTGTTGGTAGTAAACTGAAATGCCTTAGACCGTGATAACGCCAAAGCCTGTTGGCATACACCACCTTTGGCTTACCTCCCCCACCACATTTTATCCGGAAAGTCACGTCTGAGACGGCAGTGAGGCAGTGAGGGATTTGGAAGCTTTAAAAGTGAAGCTGAGGCCAATTTTTTTTTCAGTGTCTTGAAAGCATGCTGGCAAGAAACTGTCCATTCGAACTTCTGACCTTTTTTCGTCAAATCAT